TTTTTTTTTAAATTTATTTTATTATTATTATTATTATTATTATTATTTTACATTTCATTTACACTTCTTATAAAATATCAAATTACCTAGCAAAAAAGGAGAGTGTGTGTGCAGTAAGACTGATTTCAATACATGTAAAAGTAATGTAAATGATGTGAGATAATTAGGGTTTTGAAGCATAATTTATTTCACGTCATTTTTACTTTATAACTGTTTTATGTATATATTTCTTTTTAAAATGTTAAATCACTCAAGACCCGAGAGATAGAAAGAGAGAAAAAGGAAGGAAAAAAAAAACTCTATTATTAATTTAGTTGAAAAGAAACGGACATATTTCAAGTACGAGTCAGTTAATTTGATGAATATATCTCGAATCCTTTTATTAGTTCTCCACAAAATAAGATGAGAATGTAGGATTTTGTATTGGTTTTTGTGTCTTTCTAATATATATATCATCCATGTTTATCAGATTTCAAGAAAACAAATGTCCATGAATAACTCTTTTGAGCTCACATCTTAAGAAACAATAACCACGTACTTTTGAGATACGAAGAATAAAAAAAAATTATTATAATAGTATTGTTATATTGTTTTTATATGATTTTCTATTAATTATTCTAATATATCTTTTATATAAAAATTATCAAATAAATGAGAAAACCTGTTCAATATCATAAAAATATAAATTACATTTAATATTTTTTAATAAATAAATTAGAATATTTGTAAAAAAAATGACATAGAAGTACGAAGAATTATTCCTATTATAATTGGTATATGACTTCACTTCTAGATAGTTCATGTATGTTTCCACATAATAAATTAATGTAACAAAATTTTAATAAATCAGTATAGACTTTTTTGTTTTTTTTCCTTTCCAGCTGCGTACAAGTTAATAAATTGATGTAACAAATGTATATGTTCTTCGTTAAATAATTGTTAGAGATATTTTAAAATGAATAGTACTATGTTTCTGCGACAAAATTAATCGTACTATTCAACACATGAACATACAAATAATAATTAGGCTGGGGTAGAAAAATTATAAAATTAAAGAAGTGACAGAAAAAAAACATAGATAAGCATCGGTGTTTATATTCACTCTATTAATATATATTTACTTCTTCAAAACACTTTGATGGTCTTTTAGCTAGTATATATGCTTTCATATGACTTATATTATAAGTACTTTTAAAATTTTAGATCGAGTCTTGAAGCTTTTGCAACAAGAATGTTCACCCTTGGGGAAAGCTTGGCGGAAGTACTAGCGTGCAAATTGAACACAAAATCCAGCTATTTCCATGAGCATTGCTTGCCAAAAACTTGTTTCATTCGACTGAATAGATATCCTCCATGCCCTATATCGTCAAAGGTGCATGGCCTGTTGCCTCACAGTGACACTAGTTTTCTTACCATCGTTCATCAGGACCAGGTTGGAGGATTGCAATTGATGAAAGATGGAAAATGGGTTGGTGTCAAGCCTAATCCACATTCTCTAGTCGTCAATATTGGTGACTTATTTCAGGTGATTTTTCATCAAGCCTAATCCACATCAAAATATTTAAGAAAATTTGTTAATCAAAATATATTCTAATTATTAAATTATGTTTCCTCATTCAGTCTGAATTCTTGTTTGGTAGCAGCATATGTATGGGAAAACGTGATCACCAGTCCAATAGAAATGATTAGATAGCAAGAAATGAAAAAGGTATATTAACAATGACATAATTCACGTTGAAGATAAAAGTACGATTTCACACATGCATTAAGTTGCTTTAATTATCTTACCAAATTTTATTTTCCCTTTTGTGGACTCCAATTAAACAGGTTATCACAAGTGTCTGGAAAATGGCTGACAAAATATTGTTAAAATAATCTCAATAATTTGACTTTCCTATCTTATAATGGTTGACTAAATATAATGTGCAGGCATTGAGCAATGGCGTTTATAAAAGCATAAAACACCGAGTTGTTGCTGCTGAGAAAGTAGAAAGGTTTTCTATGGCATTTTTCTATTGCCCCTCAGAGGAGGCAGTTATAAAGAGCCAAATCAAGCCAGCTATGTACAGGAAATTCACTTTGAGAGAGTATAGACAACAGACCGAGAAAGATGTCAAGCAAACCGGGGATAAAGTGGGACTCTCCAGATTTCTCTCGTAGGAGTATCTATGTATTTTTGTCAACTTTATGTTAATGTCTGCTGAATCTAGTGATCATGAACTTTTCCTTAAATAAGTTTTAAGTTTGAGCCTAGAAATAATATATAATAAGAGAGTTTTATCTCATTTAACTATGTTCCCTCGAATAAATGTAACTTAGTTTGGAATTATTACATTTCGTATTATTCCTATTCATACAGAATAGCAGTGTTGTTCTTTAAAATACCACTATTGCACGAAGGATCGATAATTAACATCGGTTAAAATGAAGATTTTATATTGTTTCTAAGACAGATTGTTGATATAGAATTGAGGAATTTTCTTCATTGGACATTGAGCTGATGCAAAAAACACTTTCTACACTGGTTAAAATTACAACCAATATATATAGAAATATGTCAGTTTCTACAACAACTACAAGTTTAAGTGATGTAAAATTAAAGTAACATATTCTTAACTATACACTAGTACATAATAGGATCCAAAATCAGGATTTAAAATCAATTATAAAAAAACTAATTTAATTAATAGGAGAGATAATGATATTGTTATAGTCTCGTGACCTTTAAAATCGGTTTCAAAGTAATTGATTATGAATGTTCATACAAAATCAAATACTTGAATAATCGATTTTTTGTGTATGATATACAAAATCGGTTACTAGAATAACCAATTTTGTAGTTAATACAAAAGAATCGCTTATCTAACAACTGATTTTATATGTTTTTTAACATTTGAAAATCTCTTTTCGTAAGTAGACCACAATATATAAGGGTAGGGATGGTAAAAATACCTGCACCCGCAAGTATTTGTAGGTAAAATTCGTTACGGATAATAAATGAATAAGCTAATTGGGTACCTGCGGATAATGGGAACAGATAATTTTTTACCCGTTTATAAACAGGGCGGGGACGGGTATGATGATATTCATATATACTCGCGAGTACCTGTTTAATAATATTTCTTAAATATCTTAATTTCTTGTACCACATAACCCTAAAACTACACTCTCTCATCTTATTTTCTTACAAAAGTGAGGTTGATTAAGTTATCAACATGTGTTAAGCATGTTATAGAATTATGTTAGATGTAATTTGATTAATTTTCTAGCTCTGATAGGACAAATAAGATTTATGTATTTTAAGTTGTTTACTTTCGTTTGGAATTATGAGATTGAATTATTATAACTTTATGATATGAGACTTTCACTTACTTGTGAGATTGATATATATTAAGTTATTGATTATCTTGCATTTTTATTATTATTTCAACAAAATTAACGTTAAATATAAATTCAAAATTAACAAATTTTTTTTAATAATTCAATGACATTAAATATAAACTTAAAATTATTTGTAATATAATTTTTTTAATTTCTTAAAAAATTTATAAATATCCCTGGATATCCATGGGTATTCAAGAAATTCATGGATACCTGCTTAATGGATATCCGCTTAATGGATACCCGCGCGGATATAAGATGGGTGTGGGGCCAATTTTTATCCAGCGAGGCGGGGACGAGTTTACTATTACCCGCCCCCATGGGGCCCCATTTCCATCCCTATATAAGGGTCCTTTCATTTTCCCGGTTAAAAAAGATGCCTCCACGCTCCAATATGTAATGTGACACCCTCTACCCCACATACGTAATACACAATAAATATAAAGTACATTCTTGAGCAAATAAAACTTTTTAATCGAAACAAGGTTCCAAACCACATAGATGGAGAGTTCACATTCATATTTCGCAAATTATAGTCCAATGCAGAAATGATGACAAAATAAAATATTAACCTTTCCAAAACACAATAACAGTAATGAAACTCCAATGCTAATCCTAACTAAGTCCCGATGTCACATGCCCTATCAGAGCACACCCCACAATGAGACTTAAACCTCATCACCAATATCCTCATATTGATGATCATGTGCAACATAATAAAAATACACATAGAGCAACAAAGGAGTGTGTGGTTTTCTGAGCAAGCACACCCAAGTCTCTCTAGTATAGTAAAAAGGTTGTCGGTCCTCAGGGACTTGTGAAGTAGATTTTGATTTCCATTACACTAATTGTTACTTGTAAATTCAAAGCTTGAATAATCACACATGTCAAATATTTGATGTGAGCAGCAATTTAAACTTAAGTAACCAAAATCAAGTTAAATTTAAGGAAAACAAATATGAGAAATAGTTGGGATTAAATTTCATCAATCTCCCTCCTATGTATTCCTAATGATTCTTGCAAATGATTCCATTACTCATTGCTATTGAGTTCTCTATATTTATTCAGAGACAATTCCTTGGCATAAGAAATTCTAAGATATTTAACTCAATGAATGATTCCTCACTTCATTCAGTTAAATGTCTTGCATTAAGAACCAGAACTTGTTACAACTATTAATTTCAAAACTAGGGATGGCAACGGGGCGGGTCGGGTACGGGTTTCATGATACCCGTTCCCGTCCCCGTGAGTCAAAGTCCACGTACCCATACCTAGGGATGGTAATTGAGCCCCATGGGTGCGGGTAATAGTAAACCCGACCCCGCCCCACTAGATGAAAATTGGCCCCATATCCGCGTGGGTATTCATTAAGCAGGTATCCATGAATTTCTTGAATACCCGTGGATATCCATGGATATTTATAAATTTTTTAAGAAATTAAAAAATTATTTTTAAGTTTATATTTAATGTAATTGAAATAGTAAAAATAAAAATTCAATGTTAATTTTGAACTTGTATTTAACGTTAATTTTGTTGAAATAATAATAAAAATGCAAGATAATCAATAACTTAAAATACATCAATCTCACAAGTTAAAGTCTCATCATAAAGCTACAATAATCCAATCTCATAATTCCAAACAAAAGTAAACAACTTACAATACATAAATTTTATTGGTCTAATCAAAGATAGAAAATTAATCAAATTACATCCAACATAATTCTATAACATGATTAACATATGTTGGTAACTTCATCAACCTCACTTTTGTAAGGAAAAAAGATGAGAGATTGTAGTTTTAGGGTTATGTGGTACAAGGATAATTAGGATATTTGAGAAATATTATTAAATGGGTATCTGCGGGTATGGATATCATCATACCCACCCCCGCACCGTTTATAAATGGGTAAAAAATTATCCGTCCCCATTATTCGCGAGTACCCAATTAACCTATCCATTTATTATCTATAGCGGATTTTACCCGCAGATACCCGCAGGTACAGGTATTTTTGCCATCCCTACCCGTACCCGTCGAGTATGTGATTTTCATCCCCATCCCCGTCCCCGTCGGGTATCGGGTATACCCATACTCGTCAATTTTTATATTTTTTATTTTTTGTAAGAAAAATATGATATTTTAAATTATTTTTTTATTATATTATAATTATAATTAGGTTATTTCTCTATCTAATATTATAATAAATAACCACACATAAAAAATTATTAAAATTCTTTAATATAATTAAATTAAAAGTGGGTATTAAATTAAAAATGGAAATGGGTATGGGTACGGATACGGGACGGGTAAGTACATACCTGTACCCGTACTCGGTCAAATCGGGTATTCCCCGTCAAAGTCGGGACGAGTTTGGGTATTACCTGTGGGTATGAGTATATTTGTCATCCCTATTCAAAACCATTCCTGGCTTTCAAAACTATTAGGTGATTTGTTTCAAATCTAGATTCAGAAAATGTTTTCCAACCAAATTCTAAATCCGAGGTCAAAGATAAATGATCAGTTTATCTAAGCATTAAGAACAGAATACAAATCACTGACACTGAATAATAGATGCAATATATATATATATATATATATATATATGAATCAAAAAGGAATACACAGGAGTTCGATGACTACATCAATCCCAACCCAAGAGCTTTAGCTCTCCATAGAAGAAATCACAAGCTGGAAATAGCTAGATGAAAGGTAGAAGAAAAGAGATTGATCCTAAGAATTGTGTTCCCACAAGCTCCAAGGTGCTCTATTTTGTTTTCCTTCTCTGTTCTTCTCTCGTGACACTTACGATTCATTATTTTCTCTCCCCTCTACCCTTTTATAGTTGTTGGAATCAAAACAGAGTAGGTAAGAAAGAGAAAGAACCGCTCAACGCCTGGAAATGGCTGAGCGGATTGGAGAATCCTTCATCATGAAGTAATCCAAAGGGCTGAGCCATTTTTATCCGCTAAGCGCCTGGGAGACTCCTTTATCCTTAAGTAATCCAAAGGGCTGAGCCCTTTAAATCCGCTGAGCCCTTTTTCTACTACTCCAATAATTGCTTGCGGCCTTAAAAGCATTCAACCCTTTAAAAGGGCTGAGTCATTTGCTTCTAGAAACTCCTTCTTGTTCCAATCTTCAAAATCTGCAAAATAAAGGAAAATTTTGATCTGAAAAATCATCACTCCATATAATGACTTCAATTAAGAGCCCCTTTTTGATTTCATGTGTATTTGCCATAATTTTACAATTATATCCAAAAATTTTGTGCTAGATAATGTCTTAAATTAATATTTTAATTAGCCTAATTAGACACTTATCAGAGTGAGAAACATCTCACTCTGGTTCAGATGTAGAAATAAATGTTAGGTAACGCACACACAATCATAACAAATACCACACAAGTTATACATAACCAAGCATAACTCTCAAGTTATAGATACATTAGAATACATACATTCACTTATAATGCAATAATGTCATCGACTCGACTCATAAATGCATGCATGTGGTGCCATACGGAAGGTTCACATTTCTCATCACTGGGATGCTACTACAACAACATACCTGGGAGCACATTCATTCATGAATGCATCACTGGTGACCAAAGGTACACCTAGAATAGCTCAATACATCACTGACATGCGACCTAAGCAGCATACCTGGAATAGATCATTTAATCACTAGTGATCCAAGGTACACCTGAAATAGCTCAATACATCATTGGCACACTAGTACAAAAGAGGTATTTAACGTCAGTTTTTTTCAGCTTTTTACGTCGGAAAAACTTACAGACGTTAAAACGGGAGACGTAAAATTTACGTCGGCATTGTAAAAGCGACGTAAATTTACGTCGGACATATCAAGGTCCGACGTAAAAAAGTAGCGAAAAATTTTAAAAAAAAATTACGAGT